CAGGAGCCAGGTGCTTCCTCCTGGTCTCCCACGTGGGTGCAGGGCCCAAGCACTTGGGCCATCCTCCACTGTACTCCCGGGCCACAGCAGAGAGCTGGACTGGAAGAGGAGCAGCCGGGACTAGAACCTGGTGCCCATATGGGATGCCGGCGCCGCAGGCAGAGGATTAATCAAGTAAGCCACGGCGCTGGGCCCTGTCCCTGTTTATTTTTTAAAATTTTATTTGAGAGGGAGAGAGGGAGAGAGAAAGAGAGAGAGGGAGAGAGAGAGCGAGCGAGACAGAGCACTCTAACACTTCCAAGCACAAGAGGGGGTGTGATGCTTTTTTTTATATTATTTTATTTGTTGAATTTGAAAGGCAGAGATGGAGATCTATCTTCTGGTCCACTCCCCACGGGCTTGCTACTAGAGCCCTCGCCTGGTGCCTTCCACAGTGCACATTAGAAGTGGAGCCAGGGCTTGAGCCCAGGTGCTCAGCCAGGAGATGCAGGCACCCCAAGTGGGATCTTCACCCCCGAGGCAAGCACCTCCCACCCCAGGGGTGCCGTTACTTGAGCCGGAGCCACAGGCGCAAGCCCTTTCTGCAGCAAGCAGGGACACGTGGTCCCCTATGCCAGTGTGGTGTTTCCGCCATAACATGTTCAAAATGGAAATCTCTGACCCACCCTAAAATCTGTCCCTCACTCTGCTTCCCGTCTCAGTAAAAGACACCCCACCTACCCATTTTCTCAAAAACCCAGGAATTCATCTCTTCAAAAATTATTTATTTAAGAGAGGAGAGAGAGAAGTCTCCCATCTGCTGGTTCACTCTCCAAATGCTGGCAACAGATGGTGCTGGGCCGAGGCCAAAGCTGGGAGCCACAAATTCAGCTCAGGTTTCCATAGTGGTTGTTAGAACCCAGTTACTTGGGGCCAGCGCCGCAGCGCAGTAGGTTAATCCTCCACCTGCAGTGCTGGCATCCCATATGGGTGCCGGTTCTAGTCCCGGCTGCTCCACCTCCAGTCCAGCTCTCTGCTATGGCCTGGGAAAGCAGTAGAAGATGGCCCAAGTCCTTGGGCCCCTGCACCCACATAGGAGACCAGTAAAAAGCTCCTGGCTGCTGGCTTCAGATCAGCCCAGCTCCAGCCATTGTGGCCAACTGGGGAATGAACCAGCAGATGGAAGACCTCTCTCTTTCTCTCTGTCTCTCCTTTTCTCTCTGTGTAACTCTGATTTTCAAATAAATAAATAAGTCTTTAAAAGAAAAAAAAGAAAAACCCAGTTACTTGAGCCAACCCCACTGCCTTCAGGGTCTGCAGTACAAGAAGCTGGAACCGGAAGCCAGAGGCAGCTGTTAAACCCAGGTGCCCCAATATGGGATGCAGGTATCAACTGCTGGGCCAAATGCCTGTTACCCAAACCCAGGAATTTAAATGATGAACCCCACTATCCTTGGGTTTTTCTTTTGCTCAACTCCCACACACTCTAAGAACTTCAGTCTGCAAAATATCTGCATTCTTAAAAAAAAAAAAAGATTTATTTATTTGAAAGCCAGAGTTACACAGAGAGAGAGGGAGAGGCAGAGAGAGAGAGAGAGAGAAAGAGACAGAGAGACAGAGAGACAGAGAGAGGTTTTCCATCTGCTGGTTCACTCTCCAAATGGCCGCAATGGCCAGAGCTGCGCCAATCCTAAGCCAGGAGCCAGGAGCTTCCTCTGGGTCTCCCATGTGAACCCCTGCATTCTGATTGCAGGTCTTGCCCCCTTCGTGTCTCGCCTGCTGACCGTTCCTCCTCCTCCCACTGTCTCTCCAAGGTCTGTCCTCCACGCTGCATCCCATGAGCGCCGGGGGCTTAACTCAGATCCCGGTCCCCCGCAGCTAAGAGCTTCCTCAGCGAAGGAAGCATCGCCGTCCACAATAGCATCAGTGGATTCACAAACGGAGCCGAAGGAAAGAAGCGAGAGCCAGGGCACAACAGACTGCACGATTCCGTCATATAACGCTCGGAGACAGGGAGAACTGGGGCGGGCGTTTAGCACAGCAGTCGAGTTACTGCTTGGGGCGCCCACAGCGCCAGTCAGAGTGCCTGGTTCAAGCCTTGCCTGTGCTTCCCATCTAACTTCCTGCTAATGCTCACAGTCATGGGAGGCAGCAGGGGGTGGCTCAGGTGCTTGGGTCCCAGCACCTGCGTGGGAGACCCGGATGAGGCTCCTGGCTCCTCCAACCTGGTTGTTGCAAGCATGTGGAAGCCTCTCTCTCTCTCTCTCTCTCTCTCTCTCTCCCCCCTCACTTTCCCTCTCCCTTTCAAATAAAAACTAAAAATACACTTAACAGCGAAAGGAAGGGCTCGTGTGTGTCCCAAGGAGGCAGTGGAGAGAGCTCCGATTCTGGACTTGGATGCTGTTCTCGGTTCCACAGGCGGATTCGGCTCACAAGAGAATCTAAGAACTTGAGGCACAGCTACGCCTGTGTGCTCTGCAGGTTGCACTTCAATTAACACTTTAAAGCAGCGCCCTTGGAGGCTCTCCTTCTGCTCGGAATAAGGTGCAAACCCTGTCCCGGCCTGCAAGGCCCCTGCGGTCCGGCCCCAGCTGACCTCTCCAGCTTCCGCCTTCCATGTTCTCCCTGGCCTGTCACCCTGTCACACTGGCCTTCTTTGCTGCTTCTCCAATGATCAAAGCCCCTTTCTGCCCCAGGCCCTTTGCCCTGGCTGTCACCTCTTCCTGAACACTCTGTCTCTGTGGATGGTCAGGCTTTTATTTCATCCATCTCTCAGCTCCAATGTCACCTTGGGAAGGTTTTTCCCCAATACTCAGCATCATAGAACCTTGAGAATTTCCTTGATGATGCTTATTCTGCTTACTGGATCTCGTATTTGTTTCTGTTTGTGGTCTGGATGACCCACCACCAAACTTAGGCTCTGATAAAATGAGAGTCTTTTGGGCCCAGCGCTGTGGCTCACTTGGTTAATCCTCCACCTGCAGTGCTGGCATCCCATATGGGCACCAGGTTCTAGTCCCAGCTGCTCCTCTTCCAGTCCAGCTCTCTGCTGTGGCCCGGGAGTGCAGTGGAGGATGGCCCAAGTGCTTGGGCCCTGCACCTGCATGGGAGACTAGGAGGAAGCACCTGGCTCCTGGCTTCAGATCGGCACAGCACCGGCCGTGGCAGCCATTTTGGGGGTGAACCAACGGAAGGAAGACCTTTCTCTCTGTCTCTCTCCCTCTATCTGTAACTCTACCTGTCAAATAAATAAATAAATCTTAAAAAAAGAAGAAGAAGAAATAATGAGGGTCTTTTATCTGCTTGTTGGTGCTGCACCCATGGAGCTGAGCGCACTGCCGGGCACGGCGGCCAGAGCAGCGGCAGACGGTGGCCCTGGGGAGTGGGGACTAGGCCCAGAGAGGGCCCTGCACTGAAAGGAGAGGAGGAGAAGGCTGAGGAAGACTTGGGGGTAAGATCAAGGTGACGCAGGCCAGCACTGGGGCTGCTGCCTGCAATGCTGACATCCCATATGGAACCCTGGCTGCTCCACTTCCTATCCAGCTCCCTGCTAACGTGCCTCGGAAAGCAACAGAGGACGGCCCAAGGGCTCGGGCCCCTGCAACACACACGGGAGACCAAGTGGAGTTCCAGGCTCCTGGTGGTGGTCCTAGCTGTTGTGGCCAGTGGGAAGTGAGCCGGGGATGGAAGATCTCTGTCTCTGTCTCTCTCTCCCCCTCTCCCCTGTGTGTGTCCCCCTCTCTCTGTAACTCTGCCTTTCAAATAATTAAATAAATCTTAAAAAGAAAAAAAGTTCAAGTTGGCAGACTTGGTGAGTTAATTCCTCCACTTTTTTTTTTTTTTTTTTTTAATTTGAGAGAGTTACAGACAGTGAGAGGGAGAGACAGAGAGAAAGGTCTTCCTTCTGCTGGTTCACTCTCCAAATGGCCACAATGGCCTGAGGTGTGCTGATCCAAAGCCAGGAGCTTCCTCCGGGTCTTCCCGCATGGGTGCAGGGGCTCAAGGACTTGGGCCATCTTCTACTGCTTTCCCAGGCCGTAGCAGAGAGCTGGACTGGAGGTGGAGCAGCCGGGACTAGAACCGGCACCCATATGGGATGCCAGCACTGCAGGCGGAAGATTAACCTACTGTGCCACGGCGCCTGCCCCCCTCCACTTCTTATTAAAAACCACAGACTCTAGCATGGCCTAGAGCCCTGTGCAGGGTCCCCGGCTCCCCTCTGACTCGCTTCCTCCACACTCCCACTCACCCCTATCCTCCAAGCAGTGCCTAGCTCGGGCCCTCGGCATCTGCTACCCTCTGCCTGGCGGCCCCTCCCCGAGGCTCCCTCGGTGCCCCCTCCCCTCCTGCCAGCCTTTGCTCTGGTTTTACCTTCTCGGGGGGCTGCCTCCCAGCCCTGTCCCCTGCCCTGCTTTTTCACCGCAGCTGTTCTGACAGCACCCCCATATTTCCCGTGTTTATCACCTAGCTCCCCACGCTGCTGGTTTGCAAGAAGCAAGATTACAGGCCAGGTCTCTCCACCCCCAGGCGCTTGCCCTTCACCACTGCACATTAGTGGGAGGCCTGACCACCCGCGAGGGCCCACAGGGACACCCATGCTGCCCCACCCCCACTGCTGCTGAGCCAAAGTACCCCCAGCTGTGTCCCCCAAATTCTCGGCCACTGACGGCCTGCAGCTGGAGTCTGCCCCCGGCTGGCGGGCGCCTGCCCCTGGCAGAGGGGCCAGTGTGTAATTAGAAACCCCACAAGCCCTGTAATTGCCAGTTCTTCTCCCAAACCAGGAGGCTGGCGCTATTCTGAGACGCCCTCGTTACCGGCCGCCCGGGGTATGTGGAGAGGAGCAGGCTGAGAGCAGAGCCAGGCTGGCGTGGAGGTGGCCCTGGCCAGGGCTGGCGGGTGGCCGGAGACCAACGTGGCAGCGAGGGCTGCTGGCCCTCCTCGGAGCCCATTTCCCAGTGTGGTCAGCATCGCCCCCTCCCCGGCCCTGACCCATGCCCAGACCGTGATCTCAAACCAGCCAGGCCCATTCATTCTTTATTCCGGCGGCATACAAATCACTACAAAACTTTACAAAAGAGCTTGGAGAGTTCATGGGGCCCTCCCCTGTCTCGGCCCCTGAGCTCCCCGGCAGAGGAGGGAGACGGGAGAGGACGGGGAAGCTCCTTGAGGAGCAGCAGGGGTACCCAGCAAGTCACATCAGGGTCAGGTTTCCCGGGCCACTCGGCCCCCACCAACGAGGACCGCCCACTGTGTCTGACAGCAGGCTCCCACGGGACCGCCCACGCCCTCCCCCCGACCTGTGTCTGTCTCCCTTGCCTGGCCAAGGTACTCTGGACATGGTCAAAGGCAGCCTCTCCCTCCCGCCCCTCCCTCTGGCAGGCAGCTGGTGCAGGGAGTAACCTAACCCACCTCCTGACAGCACTGGTCCCCAGCCCCTGACCACGATGGGGGGTCCAGCCAGCCCTTCCCACCCGGCCCCACCCTGGCTGCTCAGGAAGAGATGGAAGAGAGCAGCTCCTCTCCCCCCAAGGCTGCCCCCCACCAACCCCCCGCCCCCGGCCCCACGCGCCCACAGGCTGGTTGGAAAGAGTCACTTGAGGGGCGAGGCTGATCCAGGCGGGGCCTCTGGATACCGGCAGCCGCGGCCCCTCACTTGGGGCTGCTGAGCTGGGGGTAATCCTCTTCCGACGGGGGCGCCAGTTTCAAGTCGGGGCTGAAGAGCTTGTCCCCGTGGGGGAAGGATTTCTGGGGCTGCGAGGGGTCCCTGTGGTCAGGGGAATCCTGCTGCTCCTTGCGCTCTGGCTGCGCGCTAGGATTGGGGTTCCGCACTATGCCCACAAAGATGGGCAGGTCTATGGTGTCCTCCAGGATGAAGAAGAGGAAGGGGCGGTTCACGCTGAAGGAGGAAAGGGACATGCGCGACATGGCCGTGCTGGTGGCCGCGGCCGCCTCCACACCAGCCTCGTTGAGCTCCAGGGTGGACTGATGTTGTACACTGGACACCACCAGGCCCTCGTCGGAGATCCCACGCAGGTCTGGGGCCAGGAACAGCTCCTGCAGGCCTGGGCAGGGCGGGCAGAGGAGGGCCGGTCAGAACTGCCCTCTGTCCCCAGGCTGCCTGGACCTGTCTGGCATCCTGGCCACAAAGCGCCACTTAACTCCTGTGTAGACTTGAAGTCTCACCTTGAACGTCACCTCCTCCAGGAAGCCTTCCCTGAGCCCCAGCTCCAAAGTCGGGAGCAGCTGCCTGTTCAACGTCTCTCAGGTGAACTGGAGAGAAGCCCCCTGTCTCACCACCTGTGCTGAATTCTAAGTACCTCATTCCTCCCGTGCTCACCCCACTAGACGGAGCTCTTTGTACACGGTGGACTCCCAGTGCCTGCAGTATTGAAGTTGCTTAGCGAATGGCCGGCGGGAGGGTGTTTCCCTTCAACCATGTGACACCCCAGTTTCTCCTGCTCCTCGCCCCACCTAGGCCAGGCAGCAAGGCTCAGAGGCCACCTCAGGGATTCTCTGAAGTGCGGGGCTTTGGGCAGCACAGCAAGGTCCTTGGTGGCCCCAGCCCAGCCCATGTCAAACCCCCTTTTCCTCCCCAAGAGCGGGACCCCAGGCTAGCTCTGAGTCAGCCAGAGGCTGTCCCCTCCCCCAGGGCGCACAGCCCCCTCACCCAGCTGGCTGAGGGTGGTCACCAGGTCCAGCTGGTGTTTCAGGAGCAGCTTGGGCAGCTGGACTTTGGTGGGCCTCTCCCGCAGTGAGGGCTGGTGCAGGATGTCCCAGCTCAGGTTGCTCAGCACCTGGGACACGTTCCACTCAAAGTTCGTGGGCACGAGGACCACAAAGCTCATGTTGTTCTTAAAGGGGAATTGGGCCACCTACAGATAAGGGAAGGAGAACATGAGGACTGGAAGCTTCCAAACTTGGCTGGGGTCTGGGCCTGTGTTCACTGAGACTGTGGGGGCTTGACGGGGTGGGGGCAGGGGGAGGCGGGCACCACTGGGCTTCCGGTCTCTCCTTATCAGGGATGACTTTGACCTCACCAAATCTTCGCTCTGCCCACACTGCAGGCTGCCATGTGATCAAATGGAACCATGCTTTTAAGCCCCCCAGCAGTGTCTGTCTCACCACACACGGGATTTCTGTCTCTTCTGCTACCAGCTTGCTGTGCTAGCCGGAGGTGACCAGGCACCTGTCTGCCTCTCTGGTCCTCCATGTGTACACAATCAGCGTGGTCACTGGGTTTTATATTCTCCCTTATAACAAACTCTCATGGGGACAGCATTGTGGCGAAGTGGTTAAGCCGCCACCTGTGATGCTGGCATCCCACATGAACGCTGGTTCAAGTCCCAGCTGCTCCACTTCCGATCCAGCTCTCTGCTATGGCCTGGGAAAGCAGCAGAAGATGGCCCAAGTCCTTGGGCCCCTGCACCTGCAAGGGAGACCCGGAAGAAGCCCCTGGCTCCTGGCTTCAGATCAGCCCAGCTCCGGCCATTGTGGCCATTTGGGGATCTCCAGGCACCTTCTTTTCTTCTTTTTGCCCTACTTGGCACTGACCGCTGACCACTGTCCCCAGGAGCTGGACATTGACTTGTGTGCTCTGTCTCTTGTCTCCCAGCACTGCTTAAGCTCCACTATGACCCTAGTGCCAAAAACAGTATCTGGCACAGAGCAAATACCCGATAGATTTTCACTGAATGAGTGGATCTAAAAAGGCCTGGAGCCTGGATCCTTCTTGGTGCAACTTTGCCGAGCTGCCTGCCCCAGGGACATGACCACGAGGAAGGTGGGTGCCCCTTCAGCTCTCTGCGGCTGCTCCACAGCTGCCCACCCCCTTCCCCACCGGCCAGCACCCGGGCCAGCCTGCTGGGCAACCAAGGGTGACCTGGATCTCAGGCTGCTCCAGCAAGAACCAGCGCAGAGGGTACTTGTGGGCTTGCATCATGTCCACTGGCACCGTGAACTGCTCGTCCAGGTGGAAGGAGTCTCTCTGGGTGAGGCTCGGGTCAAATTTGCTCCTCCAGAAACCTGCAGCCGGGCACAGGGCGGTGGCCATGCACATGGGAACAGCACGGGCTCCCTGCCTCCAGCACACCCAGAACCCTCTCAAGGGATGAGAAGTAGAAGCCAAGACCCGAGGGGGTGCCGTGCCAGCAGGCATCTAGCCGATCTGAGTACCCCTGTGATGCAGCAGTGTCTGTAACGCTGCCGTATCTCTGTAGGAGTTTTTTTTTTTTTTTTTTTGACAGGCAGAGTGGACAGTGAGAGAGAGAGACAGAGAGAGAAAGGTCTTCCTTTGCCGTTGGTTCACCCTCCAATGGCCGCCGCTGCAGCCGGCGCACCGCGCTGATCCTGGCAGGAGCCAGGAGCCAGGTGCTTTTCCTGGTCTCCCATGGGGTGCAGGGCCCAAGCACCTGGGCCATCCTCCACTGCACTCCCGGGCCACAGCAGAGAGCTGGCCTGGAAGAGGGGCAACCGGGACAGAATCCGGCGCCCCAACCGGGACTAGAACCCGGTGTGCCGGCGCCGCAAGGTGGAGGATTAGCCTATTGAGCCACGGCGCCGGCTCATCTGTAGGAGTTTTTTGACATCTAGGCTTGATCTTCCCCAACCTGTGCAATGCTCCCAGGAATGCCCACTGGGTCCTTGAAGACCCTGTTTCCTCCCATCGTCCTCTCTCCTCAACAGCCCCATCCTGTTGCCATTCCAGGGCCCCTTCCCCACACACGCCCAGAGAGCCCCCTGCCTCCCAACCCAGCCTCAGAGCTAAGCCTGGCCAGCCCAGCTTGGGCCCACGCGCAGAGGGAGGGCCCCTGAGCAGGCACTCGAGAAGAGGAGGCACACACCCTGGAAGTGGATGGCATTGAGGAGGAGCAGCACGGTGCTGTCTGGCAATTCCGAGAGGAAATCCTCAATCTTCCCCTCTGTGGCCTCCTTCACCCATTGATTGATGTTCACCAGGTCCTCCTCTTGCCTTCCTGTCAGGCTCACAGGCTTTGCACCAAACAGCTGCTCTGACAGCTTCAGGAAGTCCTCTTTGATGGGAAAGCCTACGTACAAAGGACCACATGCTCTTCCCAGGGCTCAGGGCTGCCCACCTGAGGCCAACCCCCTCTCCCCCCTCGGTGCCCACCCGCCATCAGCACCTACCTTTCTGCAGGTACATTCTGGCAGCCAATCGGAACGCCCCTGGGCCCAGGTTCCGGCAGAGGTGGCTCAGCAGGTGGGGGAGGCAGGGCCCTGAGTCCGCATGCAGCACCTGCTGCAACCTCTGTAGCGTGTGGTTCTGAGCACCTGGAGGGGACCCCACGGGCTGAGGCCGAGGCGGGGGCTCTTCCCCACGCCCCTGCCCACTCCGGGGACCCCACGGGCTGAGGCCGAGGCGGGGGCTCTTCCCCACGCCCCTGCCCACTCCGGGGCCTCTGCAGCGCTGCAATGAGTATGCCCACGGGACCACACGCTCTCCTCCCATAAACCCTGAGTGATGGGACTCAGCCCTGCCTCCAGCAGAGCCGCACGCTGGGCGACCTCTCCAGACCTCAGCGTCCCACCACGAGACTCGCCAGGCCGCGGAGGCCCTGTAGCCATGAAACACTCGCATGCACATCAGCAGGGGAAGTTGTGCTTAATCGGGTCCTCGGCCTACTCCTTGGGGCTCTGACTCTCAGGGGCTGGTGGGGGCCCAGGAATCTGCATTTTTACCAAACATCCAAGTGAGCCCGATGCGGGAGCCACCCACGGGTAATCTCTGGAGGAGTGGGTTCTCCCTGCCTCCCAGCTGTGCTGGTCTGGACAGGTGCTGCCACAGTACCTAATGCCAGGTGAGACAGAGCCAGGGCCACACTCAGGGGCGACAAGACCAGGTTGGGGCTGGTGGATGCTTGCACCACCAGGGAAAACAGGTCAGTGGTGAAGGCCATCATGGCCTGCGCCAGCCTGCGCGTCTGCTCCGGGGTCGGGGTTTCCCTGCAGTCTCCTGGGGACTTCTTCAGGGCAGTCTGACCGTGCAGCTCCTGCAGGGACAGGGCAGGGGTCAACGAGGTCAAGGGGTCAGCTCCGGTTTCTTTCTTGAATACCTCCTTCAGAGCCCCCAAGCCTGTCACAGACCTGAGAGTCACCTGGAGGCACTGCCCTTGTGACCCCGCCCCCGCCCCTGCTGATTGGCCCGCCTCCCTCGGGCCCGCCCACTCTTCGCCAGCCCCACCTGGTTGTACCTGGTTGACCAACTTGAGGAGGGCGAGCGGAGGCAGCTTTTCCTGGCTCTGACCACTAGTTAGCTGCAGAAAGGAAGAAACGGATGAAGACCGGCCCTTCCCACGGGTCCCCTCCCTGGCCGGGCCACAGGCGACACCAGCTGAGCCCCACTGCCCCCCCCCCCCGCCGTGCTCCTCCCTCCCCGGTACCTGCCGGCCCACGGGCTCCATGGCGCTCACGGGAGGGAGCTGTTGAGAAAGGGGTGAGGATAGACGGGGAGCGACCCGTCCCCTCCGCCCCGCCCCCGGCCTCTCCCGCCCCCCGCGTCCCCAAACCTCAGCCCAGTCTCACCACCGCGCAGGGGCCTTGCAGGCAGGACAAGCTGAGCACCAGGAGCCCCCGGAGCAGCACCATGTTCCTGTGTCGGGGACAGGGAGCCTCGGTTCCGCGCTCAGCCTAGGGATCCTACCCACGCGGTCACAGCCGGGGAAGGCAGGAGGCAGAGCACGCGCCAAGACCGCTCGGTAGGGGCGCCCCCTTCCACGGGCTCCTAACTGCCCCCACTGCTACTTTTCCCTTCTTTCTTTGTAGTTTCCGGTTTTTCACATTTCACTCGCAGCAAATACTTTGGGAGAAGCATGAAAACAACAACAACAATGTGGGGCCAGCATCTGGTGCAGTGGGTTAAGTCTGGGACATGCCCATCCCACGGAGTCCCGGCTGTTCCGCTTCCCATCCAGGTGCTTGCCAAGCACCTGGAGGCAGCAGGTGAAGGACGGCTCAAGTGCCCGGGAAGTGGCCACCCACGTGGGACCCCAAATGGCTTCAACCAGGCCCAGCCCTGGCCGTTGCCGTCCTTTGGGGACTGACCCAACCAGTGGATGGAAGATTCTTCTCCCCATCCCCCATCGCCTTACCTTTCATGCAGATGAAGATGAAGTTTTAAAAATAATAAAATAACAAAAATTTTTAAAAAGCCCTTGTTCTCCCAAGGCCTCAAGTCAGACCTGGCTTTGAATCCAGGCTCTGGCTCTTGCCGGAGGAAGTGGCAGCAGAAGTCTGCACCTCCCCCAGCATGTATTATGAGGACTAAAAAATAAAACAGCCTTTGTCAACCCTGTGTACAAGCGCCTGGGACTCAGCTGAAGGCTGCAGTCGGCCTAGCTCCAGGCCCCCTCCTCCGGAAAGCCTTCCTTGAGGCCTCCTTCATGGGGCTCCCACCCAGGGCTCCTGTCCACCCCGAGGCCCCCTCCCCAGGGCTCCTGTCCACCCCGAGGCCCCCTCCCCAGGGCTCCTGTCCAGCCCAAGGCCTCCTCCCCAGGGCTCTTGTCCACCCTGAGGCCCCCTCCCCAGGGCTCCTGTCCACCCCGAGGCCCCCTCCCCAGGGCTCCTGTCCACCCCGAAGACCCCTCCCCAGGGCTCCTGTCCACCTGAGGCCCCTTCCCCAGGGCTCCTGTCCACCCCGAAGACCCCTCCCCAGGGCTCCTGTCCACCTGAGGCCCCTTCCCCAGGGCTCTTGTCCATCCCGAGGCCCCCTCCACAGGGCTCCTGTCCACCCCGAAGCCCCCTCCCCAGGGCTCTTGTCCTCCCTGAGGCCCCCTCCCCAGGGCTCTTGTCCACCCGGAGGCCCCCTCCGCAGGGCTCCTGTCCACCCCGAGGCCCCCTCCCCAGGGCTCCTATCCAGCCCCAGGCGCTCCCCCCAGCAGGGCTCCTGCCCCAGGGCTCCTGTCCAACCTGCTGTCCAGGGGCCAGTCTTTATCAGGCTGGTCAGGTGTGTGAGGCCCTGAGGGCTTGGCAGGGGTGATGGGGTGGCTACTGCTGTTGACCCAGCAGGGGGGCCCAGTGAATGACTCTGGCCAGGGCCACCTTTGCACTGATGAGAACCGCGGGTCCTGTCCCCAGCTCAGCCCCGGGCCGGCTCTGGAAAGCCAGCCTGGCAGGTGAGGATGGGTATCGTTCTTGGTCTAGGGAGGTCTTACCTCTCCTCACCCCGCTGCACCCCATCTCAGGGCCAATCCTTCGGGGGGAGCCTGTCACCCCTGGTCTCACCCCTGTCACCCACAAGGGCCCTTGTCCAGGGCCCTGATCTCTAACCTGGGCATGGAGACTCTGAGCCAGAAGAGGCCTCCTGTTTTCCAGCCCGAGGGTGCCTCCTGGAGTCCCCACCTCGGCTCCTCACCGCGAAGTGAGCCTGGGCACCCGCAGGTCTCCTGGACAGACGGCTGTCCTCCTCCTCTCCTGCCCAAAGAGCAGGCTGGGCCACCCCTCCCCTTGTACCTCTGTGGGCTCCTCGCTGTCGCACACGATGTTCCGCTGGCCCCACTTTGGAGCTCCCCACGCTCTGCCCGCGGGCTACCGCCAGCCCAGCCTCCCCTGCCCTCCCACCAGGACCTTTGCTCCTAGCCAGCCCTGGTGCACACTGCTTTCTCTTCTGGTAAATATTGACCTGCATATCCGGTTAAACATTGATGTGGGGGCCAGAAGCCCCTTTCCCACCAGGGCATCTAACCCCCAGCAGCCGCCCAGGGCCCCACTGGGTTTATGTCCCTGGGAGGCTGAGGAGGAGACAGCAAGGAGGCTGGACCTGGCCAGTCAGGAGGGCAGCTCCGGGAAACACGGGAGCTGGAACTGTGTCAGAGCTTCCAGCAACCCCACGGGGCGGGAATTATCATCAGCTGTCTCAGGGAGGCTACGTGACCTGCCCAAAGACACAGAGCCGGGCCCACGGTCGCATCCACATGCCAGCTTCCAGCATCCTTTCCTCTCCCCTCCCCCACCCGTTGCCTCCCTTGCCCAAGGGCAGGCCCATGAGCCTCAGCAGAGACCTGGGGACAGGAAGCCTAGCCCCAGCCGGTACAAGCTGGGATCCTGTCTGGCTGCCTTCAGCCTGGGTCTGGGAGCAGGGGGGGTGGGGAGAGGAGCAGAGCCAGAGGGTTGCAGCCTGCGGCATCCTCCCTCTTCAGGAGCCACGTCTCCTTACTCTCTCAAGGAGGAAGGTTCCAGAAACTGGCCTGGGGCCGCACACACCAGAAGCCCCGCCTCGCACAGCAGCGATCAATCTGCCTCCCCTCTCCCTGCCCTGTTTCTCAGCCCCTTCTCTCGGCAGGGAACTTGTTGGGTCTCAGCTCCTCCCCAGCCCCCACCAGCAGCAGCAAGACCAGCCCCACTCTGTTCTGTGGCTCTTAGAAGGATTTATTGGTTCTATTTACATCTATTGCAAATAGTGAGGAGGCAGCAGGGGCCACGCCTCTGACTGCATCTCTGCTCCAGAACACAAGGACCCAGGGCCAGACCTGGGGACAGCCCAGGGTCTTCCTGTCCCCCTGGGGGAGCCCTGAGATGCACAGATGACTCTTCTTGCCCCTTCTCTCAAGGCCTCCTGGGTTCTGGGCCCAGCCAGGTGCTGCCTCCTCAGCTCAAGGCACAAACGCTGTGGTTAGGGGAGGGCAGGCAAGGCAGGGGTCATTCCTGGCAGGTACCAGCTGGCCCAACCCCCCCTTCTCTGATCCTGTCCTCTTTCTTCCCCTTCTGGTCCCAAACCAGGTAGGGCCTGGGCTGGACAGACACATAAGCCCCAGACCAAGGCCCTTAACTCCTGGATCGTGGCCAGCCCTCTTGAGGCTGGAGGCCAAGCACCATCAGTGCCCTGGCCTGGGACAGCTTCCTTGTCCTTGGGGGACACAGGCAGAGAGTCCATTAGGGGAGGGGGTGTGCTTGGTTAGAGGTTGGCGGGGCGGGACCGGGCTCCCTTCCCCTCCCCAGGGCTTCCCCTTCCCGGGTGGGCCCAGAGGGCAGAGCTGGGAGAGCGAGGGAGCAGCGCTTTCCCAGTGTCCTTCACTTCCTGCTGGCTAAGGGCAGCGTCTCTCCAAGCCACGAAGGAGATCCACTCCCGGCAGCCTTGGTGTGCTGAGGAGCCAGGGTCCAGGGCCCCACATACTCACACTCAGCCTGGCAGGCCACACTGGGCACACAGAGTGTGAGGCCTGAGGCCCGCCTGCAGGGAGTTGCTGGGAAAACAAGGGCAAGAGCTGGACTCCAGGGGGGTTGGGCGGGGGTGTCGGCCAGCCCGGCCTAGCCAGGTCCTGTCTAGGCCAGGAGGCGGATGAGGCCGTTGTCCGAGCCCAGCAGGAGGTGGCGTTTGGTGGGCAGCAAGGCCAGGCTGGTGAGCGTGCCGCGGAAGTTCTCGGAGCTGAGCTTTGTGGTGGCCTGCGAGGGCGGCTCCAGCAGGGAGCAGACACCAATCTTGTTGGCCACGGTGCCGGTGACCACCTCGCTGCCGTACAGGTCGAAGGTGTGGATGGGGTCGGAGGCAGACTTGTAGTGGTGTGTGGGCTTCTGCTCCAGCTCCTTCCAGACGGTCAAGGAGTGGTCCGAGGAGGAGCTGACCAGCACGCTGCCCTCCACGGCCTGCCAGCGAGAGAATAGCCTCAGCAGGGGCCTAGGCCCTCCTGCCCACCTACCGTTTCCTCCCACTGTCACGGGGAAGGCAGGCTGCCCAGGAGTGACAGGCTGCCACCCTCCACATCATCTTCACGTTACTTGACATTGACAGAGTAAGTGTTGCTGACCTCATTGTCACTCTACTTCGAGAACTTCCTGTGTACGGGCAGCGTGCTGGGCACGCCTCCATCACTACATTAATCTGCCCCATAACCCTTTGCAGGAGGTGCTGTCATTGCCCCCACTTTAGAAAGAAAAAAAACTGAGGCTAAAAGAGGATAGATAATCACACCCAGGTCACAGAGCCAGGAAGAACACCCAAGCAGAATTTCGAGGTACCTGGAGCCCAAGGTCCCCGGGGGCCCAGGAGGGACCTGAGGTCAGGCCACCCTTAGCATCAGCTCAGGGGACAGTTCTGGCTGCCTGGAGAGATCCCCCCGTAGGAAGCCCTAGGCCACCCTCCTGGGCTTCCTGAGCAGTTCCTTGAGGCCTGCGACCAGGGATGGGAGTGGGGAGGTGCAGGGGGTAGGTGGAAAGAGCTCCACTGCCAGGCCTACTCCTGCCCCCCCCCCTTCAAGGCAGCCCAGCAGGGGGCATGGACTCTGCTCAGGGACCCAGGGGCAGTAAACAGCCTCCTGGCTGAGCTTTATTTAACCTGAACTGGGTCACGGACGGGGCCCGACCCTGATCCTCCAAGTAAGACAAATATGGACAAGAGTTACTCATTAGAACACCTCCGTGGAGCAGTGGGGGCAGGCTCTGCCCTCTGCCCCGGAGCCTCCTTCCTCCAGAGGCCCCAGCAGTCCTTGAGCAGGTGTAAGGAAGACGAGCAGAGGTGAGGGGCTGGTGCAGGGGCCGGGGCTGGGTGCTACGGGGAAGGGGACCCAGCCCATCACCTTGATCTGCAGGATGTCTCCTTCGTGGGCTGGCCAGCCTCGAAGAATCAGGCCCGTGCGAGTGTCCAGGAGCACCATGAAGCCCGAGGAGAAGCCGGCCACGACGCTACGGCCGCTGGGGCTGACCGCCAGGGAGCGGACCAGCCCAGGGTTCAGCCCGCCACCCAGGCGGAACTCATGCTGCAGACAGAGGGAGACTGAGTGAGGCGGCCCCACCGCCCCAGCCCCTCACCGCCTAACCCCACAGAGCAGGGAGGCCTGAGCCTCTGACCCCCATCAAGGGCATGAAGGAAAAGCCCAGAACCCCACCCCCATCACAGGCCAGAGTCCCACCCGCCAGCCTTTGCTGCTGTGGGTGATCTATCTCCAAAAGGAAGTCAAGAGGTGCCTGGGGACAACTCCCAGCTTTGTCCCTCTGTGGGTCTCTCCTCAGGGGCCTGCCAGGTCCCCGGAGAACCAGAGAATACACCCGGACCTGCAGGCCAGGCTTCCTGCAGTCCACGAAGCGCAGGGTCGAGTCAGAGCTGGCCATGGTGATGCTGGCGTGCGGGGCGGGCATGACAGCCACGGCCGTGAGGGGCACTCGGCTGTCCGATGGCTCCACTGTGCGAAGCGTCTTCCCTGGGAAGGAAAGGCACCAAGGGCCTGCGGTCTCAGCTGCTGAGGGCGCCAGCCCCGCCCAGGCCCCCGCTCCCCCCATACCTGCCTCTCGTCCCTGCAGCAATCCTCAGCAAGTGCAAAGCACGTTTCTTGATTCTCCCACCTTCCCCCTTCCACAACCAGGCTAAGCCCCCACCCCCAAAGCAACCCCCTCTCTTCACACGCCACACTCCTCCCCCTTCTGAACCCCACTTCTCTCTGTACTGATGCTAAAAGGGCATCGAACAACCATTCGCCAAACATGCTGCAGTGAGCCAAACCCGAACATGCGTTATCTTTTTTTTTTTTTTTTTTTTTGACAGGCAGAGTGGACAGTGAGAGAGAGACAGAGAGAGAAAGGTCTTCCTTTGCCGTTGGTTCACCCTCCAATGGCCGCCACGGCTGGCGCGCTGCGGCCGGCGCACCGCACTGATCCGATGGCAGGAGCCAGGTACTTCTCCTGGTCTCCCATGGGGTGCAGGGCCCAAGAACCTGAGCCATCCTCCACTGCACTCCCTGGCCACAGCAGAGAGCTGGCCTGGAAGAGGGGCAACCGGGACAGAATCCGGCGCCCTGACTGGGACTAGAACCTGGTGTGCCGGTGCCGCAAGGCGGAGGATTAGCCTAGTGAGCCACGGCGCCGGCCCATGCGTTATCTTCTAAGCCGATCTTCCCAATTCCCATTTTACAGGTGAGAAAACGGACACTTCCAACAGCAAAGTGACTGGCTCAGGCCCCTCAGCAAGTAAGCAGGCAGGCCGACTCAGACCCAGGTCTAGCAGGTTCGAAGCCCCAGCTGCTCGTCTGTACAGCCTCACTGGGCCTCCTCCTTCCCAGAGGCCTGGTGGGGTACGGGACAGCAGCAGCAGAACAGGCCTCACCTGGGCCCGCTCACCTGTGAAGGGGTCCCAGACGTGCACGGCCCCGTCACAGCTCACCACATACTGCGGGGCCTCGAGCTGGCCCACGTAGAAGACGCTCTTGCGGTGCTGGGTGTAGACGAGGCGTGGGGCCGTCTCGCTGGTCCCGTCGCCGTAGTTGTAGAGCGGCCAGAGGCGCACGGTCCGGTCCTTGCTGCCGCTGAGGAAGAAGTCCTCACTGCTCAGGGCCGCTACACACTTCACGGCCCCCGAGTGGCCCGGGAAGCTCTGCAGGCGGATCTGGTGGAAGTGGAAGTGGGCGTCCTGCTGGCTCACGCCGATCTCGTACTGCCAGTACGCCAGCCAGTTCCCGCTCAGCCCGTGCGCGCTGCGTGGCAGCTCCCGCTTCAGGGCGTTGTCTTCGGCCCCGGCGCCCAGGCCCCCGCTGCCCACCCCGGAGATGGGGCCCAGCGGGCCGGGGCTCTCGGGCTGAGGGTCACTGGGGATCTGGATGCGGTTTCCAACCAGGACACTCCCAAAGGTCCCTGAGTGGCTGTCATCCTGGGGGCAGCCCCCTCCCTGGGGGTCTCGCTCAGCACTGCTGCTGGGCACGGTGGGCTCCACACTGGCAGGGTTCTGACTGCTCAGGCTGATGCTCTCCAAATACAGCCCCGCCAGCTCCCCCACCAGCTCGTGGTTGGGGATGATTTTCCGGATGATGTCACCTGGAGGGGAGTGGGAGAGGCCCCAAGGTCAGGGAGGAGCAGGCGGGAACCTGGGGGGGTGGGGGGGCAGGTGCTGGCTGTGCAGCTGTGGGCAAGTAACTCCTCACTCTCCTCCCCAGGAAGACACAACGCAGGCCTATTCACTCGGTGAGTGCGGTCTCTGCGCGGGGTGACGGAACAAGGCGCACAGTGTGCCCCCTGCCCCCGGCCATGGAGGTAGGATGGCCACGCCTCCATCCACAGGGCCGTCCACCGTACTCAGACGAGACAGACGGTAAGGCAGGCACAGTGCCAGTCCGCAGGGCGGTGAGCCCCTGGCTCTCTCACAGGCACCTCTGGAGACCATCGACACATCAACTGCCTCCCCGCCTCCCCCAGGGACACCACGAGCCACCTCCTGCACCCCTCATACTGGCCAATGCTCTATCTCTGTTTCTATGTCACCCTGGGATCCAAGGTCTGTGGCCAGATCCCTTGGCCCAGAATCCAACACCTGCTTAAAAGTCACTTTTTGCCTCTGGGGTCAGGGAGGAAGCTGGGAGAAGGGACACGGCCACGGAGGCCGTGCAGGGGAACGTGATGGGGCAGTACCCAACAGGCAGGAGAAGGGCACGTAGATTGTGTATGCCATCTCCAGGGTGAACACCTTCTGCAGCTCGTCCAGCAGGGCGGGGTCCACCGGCCGCTGCTGCCCATCGGAGAAGGCTGCCTCTGGCAGCTGGCCCTCGCTGCGGCCTGCAGAGTCCCACTTCAGGTCCTGCGGGCAGCAAGCCCAGGCTGTCAGGCGGGCCCACAGCCCCAGCCCCAGCCCATCCCAGCCCCCGCCAGGACGGCCGACCCACCTGGTGCCGAAGCTCATGCAGCTGAGAGAAGACCTGGAAGAAGGTGGCCACGGGCTCACTGAGGTGCTGCTGGACCATTTCCTGGCCGATGCGCAGGCAGATGAGGGCGATGAGGCTGATGGTCTTCACGCACAGGACGGTGCGGGCCTGGGCCCCACTTGGGAACCTAGAGAGACGGCCATGAACTCCAGCGCCACCCCCTACTCCCCGCCCTGCAGGACTAGGTCAGAATCCACTAAGAGGAGCTCCGAGGGCGAAACGGTCCTAACAGGAAGAGGGACTGAGGCACAGGAGGAAGGGTCACAGAGCCAGGACCCCTGACACCCAGCGCAGTGTTAGTCTCTTCCCTTGGAGCTTTGCAGCCCCCTGCCCCGGGCTGCTCCCCCACGGTGCCTGGGTCAAGGGCCTACCCTGTGACAAGGGACGTGAGGAAGCTGAGCACGGGCAGCAGGACCTCGTGGCTGAGCCGGGGCAGGATGTCCATGAGGGTGGTGTCCGAGAGATACACGGTGATCTTCTGAGCCAGGGTCACCGCAGCCAGCAGCCCTGCCTCCTTGCGGCTGTTCAGTCGGCTGGGGCCTGAGGCGCTTCCAGGGGCCACCTGAGGCCACAGAGTTAAAGATGGCCAGGCTGCCCCTAGGGCCCCGGGACCTCAGAGATGGTGGGCCGGCCCTCAGCTCCTCACCTCCCCGCCCTGGGCCTGCCAGACTGATGACTGACCAGGTAACTGATGTAGGGCAGGTACTGATAGGTGAGGACGGGCTCCCCGTACAGGTGGGCGATGTGCAGGAGGCAGCTGAGCACAGGCGCCGACACCACGTCGCCCAGTACCGGCCTCCGCTGGTAGATGTTGCCGGCACTCAGCGGAGGGCTCTCGCCACTGCTGACGGTGAACTGCTGCCGAGTGGGCCCTGCCAAGGAAGAGCCCACAGCCTTGAGCAGCCAGCAGAGGGCAGGAGGGAGGGTGCCCTTCCAGGCCTGCTGTAGCCAGTCCTGCTCCCTCGCGCCTGTGCTGTGCCCGGGGAAGGACCCAGGACCTGGCGAGGAAGTGGTTTGCAATGGGAGCGGGAAGGACCCCCACCCCTACACCCCACAGAGGGCCGAAGATGGCCCGCAGTGAGGCCAACCACAGGTCTCACCAACGTAACAAGAAGTCAGCAGGCGGAGCAGGTTCCGGGCCACGTGGCGAGAGGCCACAGTGGGGCCAAGCTTGGCGGACAGCCAGCGGACCATCTTGCAGGCGGTATCTGCAGGGCAGGAGCAGGCCCTGAGCTCCTCAGATAAGGGTGGCTCACCCCGCCCCAGTGCTGCAAGGAGCCTGGCCACCCTTGTTCCACCCTGCAGTTAGCAGAGGCAGAGGCCCTGGCCTGTGGGACCCTGGCTGCTACAGACGGCTTTCCTCGGGCACAACTTGCAGCAAGGGTCCCCTGCAGATTCTTCCCAGGCTCTGTAAGGAGGCCTGCCCGGACGGGCTCCCTCCCTGGGGCCTCTCTTCCCTCTCCCACCACGTCTTCGGTGGAATGACAGCCTCAGAACCTCACACACGGGGCTGGCATTATGGCACAAAGGGTCACACTGCCACCTGAGACACCAGCATTCCACATGGGTGCTGCTTCAAGTCCCAGCTGCTTCACTCCTGATCCAGCTCCCTGCTAAGGCACCTGGGAGGCAGCAAAAGATGGCTCAACTGCCCTGGCCCATGCCCTCCATGTGAGAGACCTGGATGGGGTTCCAGGCTCCTGGCTTCAGCCTGGCCCAGCCTGGCCATTGCAGTTATTTGGGGAGTGAACCAGTAGACAGACAATCTCTGTCTCTTCCTGTCTTTCTGTAACTCTGCCTTGAACATAAATAAATCTTTAAAACAAAGAACCTCACACATACTGTTCCCGGGCATGAAATACTCTTCCCACTTCCATTTCTGCCTGCCTATGTCCTAGTCCTACTTGAATCTCAACTGTCGCTACTTTCAAAGACGTTCTCAGGGCCAGGATTGTGCTACAGCAGGCTAAGCCTGTGCCTGCAATGCCGGCATCCCATATGCGTGCTGGTTTGAGGCCAGCTGCTACCGCTTCCAATCCAGCTTCCTGCTAGTATATACGCTGGGAAAGCAGCGAAGATGACCCAAATACTTGGGCCTCTCACCCATGTGGGAAACCCAGAAGAAGCTCCTGGCTGCCTTTGGCTTGGTCCAGCCCTGGCCATTACGGCCATTTGGGGAATGAATCAGCAAATGGAAGACTTCCCTCTCTCTCTCTCTAACTCTGCCTTTCAAATAACTATAAACCTTCTCTGATTCTGAAAACTAGCTCCCAGACCCATTCCCATTCCCTCACAGCAACTCACCCTGCTCTTTACAGCACTGATGTGAGACTTATCACACCACAGGGGATCCCCGAGAAGGCAGGCCTACATCTGCACCCCAGGTGGCCCTAGCTCAATTTGCGGCCTGGCGCACAGTAGGTATCCACCAGCAAGAGCACTTGGCCACCACCTCCCGGACCTGGGGACTTACCAAGGAGGATCCTGTGTTCTTTGCCTTCCGACTGCCCGGTCAGGGGCTCCTCCTCTTCCTCTCCATCTCCCTGGCCATCACCAGCCACAACAGTCTCCATGGACAGCACCGTGTCAGACAGAGTGAGCTCAGATGCCCCCGTGACCTCATCTTGTTCCGCCCCCTCCTCCTCCTCCAACACCACACAGCCTTCTTCTTCCTCCTCTTCATCCTCTGAGCCCTCGCTTTGCTTCAGGTCCTGGCTGCTGTCACCTGACCTGAGGCTGCTCTTGTCCACAGGGGCGCAGCCCTCGTCACCGGCCCGCTCCTCCCCCAGGGAGGTGTCACTGGTGCTGCTCTTGTCACTCAGCCGGCCCAGGCTCAGGGCCTCAGCCTCCTGTGGAGACCCAGCCACATAGAGGCCGCCTTGGAAGTCCTCTGTCTCGGGGAGATCGGCTTGGTCGTGGAAGCTGACGCCGGATGTGTAGTCGGGGAGCCCCAGGCCGGCAGAGGTTGCAGGCTCCTCGTCCATCTGGATCTCCTCCCCAAAGGCACAGGAGCCAGGCCCGGGCCCTGGCAGCGCCACTTCCTCATCCTCAGCCGCCCCCGCCAGGCCCTTGCTCTCCTCCTGGGAGGCCTCCACCCCAGCCAGCACCTGCAGGACGTGGGGCAGCAGGTGCACGAGAAAGGCCTGGAGGCCCAGCCGCACCATCAGCTGGGCCACAAAGCAGTCGGTGTACAGGTAGAAGCGGCCGTGCAGCTGGCAGGGGCTCTCGTAGGCACCAATGAGAGGCTTCAGGAGGTACTTATTGGCATTTCTGGGGCCCAGGGCCTTGGCAACGGGCTCAAATAGGTACCAGGCCGCGTACACGGCCGTGTGCTCCTCGGACATGAGTGACAGCACGAAGGGCAGCAGGATCTCCAGGCCCTCGGGGGTGATGTCGCTCAGCACTGCACCCAGTTGCTGCCACAGAGCAAACACCAGCTCCCGGCCCTGGGCCTCGTCCTCCACACGCCTCGCCTGGTACAGGAGGATGAACTTGTGCAGCGCCGGGAAGTAGAGGGGGAAGGGCACCACCGAGCTGAAGGGGCTGAGGAGCTGGGCTGGGCACGGTGGGGGCAATCCCTGGGAGACAGGCCTGTACTCAAACAGGGGGGCCAGCCCACCCCTCTGTGCTACTGTGGGGCCTTCAGGCCCACTCAGCTGCAGGAGCGTGTCCAGCACGGGCTGCAGGGACACAGGGACCTCCTTGGGGTGACGTAAGCATAGCCCCCGGATAGCCTCAAAGCGCACCCACAGAGGCGCGTGCGGCGGCAGCGTCCGGACCCTGGTGGCGAACACCATCTCAGCCAGCAGGACACCCAGGGCCTGCATGTCCCGGTGGAAGAGGTCCCGCAGCTGCACAGGTGGCTGGCCCCGGGGCCGCTCCGGCACCTGCAGCTGGCCCCCCAGGCCTTTGGCCAGGAAGTTGCCCATCTTCTCCAGCTCCTCCAGAGCCTGCACGGGATTGAAGCCCTCGGGAAGAAGGATCTTCCCCTCCTCACCCTCCCCAGGGTCTGCCCCAGCAGCTCTGTGCCTGCGGCTTGGTCGAGAGGTTGAGGCCACAGAGAAAGACAGGAGGCCAGCAGGGGCTGGACTGGAGGAGGCACCCAGCTGGTCCCCTGCTTTCCCGGCGAGGGAGATGGAATCCAGAGCTTCCGTGGCCTGCTCCAAGTCGTCCTCCCCTGCCACGGGCCTGTCTCTGGTCCAGCCAGCCTCACACGGAGCGGCCTCCAAAACCACCCTACCCACCCCGTTCGCTAGCTGTCCTTGGAAGTCCTCCTGGCCTGTGGTCTCTTGGATGGTCTGCACCAACAGCCGGGGGATGGGAGGGGGCTCGGGGGCAAGGGCAGGGGTCCCGGCCAGGCGCTGGGGATGCGGCTGGTCGAAGAGCTGGACCACGCCATAGCTGGTGAGGTGGGTGTGAGCGTCCACCAGGTGCAGACACACATTCTTCTCCTTCACAGCCTCCTTGCCCTGGAGTTTGTAGCCGAAGGTGAGGTCAATCCAGTGGTGCAGGTCCCGCGACACCTCCTGGCTCTCCAGCAGTGCCCGGTGGGCAGCCACAAACTCCTCGCTGGAGCTGCACCAGGCCGGCACATCCAGGTCAGGCATGTCGGGGTGGATGGAGCAGAAGATAGAGGGGTCGGTGTAAAACTCCGGGATGCACTCGTCAGGTGTCCAGCTCTGCATCCTCTCCATGCTGGCAGGATACTCATGGGGCTCCCACTGGGCTCGGACATGGCCACAGAGCACGGAGCGCGGCGTGCGCCGAGCCTTGTACACGTAGTACGTGATGTCCGAGAGTACGTCTGAGATGTGGTGAGGAACGTGAGGCGGCTCCCCGCCGCCGGCGCCGCCGGCCACAAACGCCTGCCGCGTCATCTCATACGTGAAGTCCAGCTGCTTGTCCCCCTTGTTGAGGCGGAACTTGGACTTGCGCAGGTCCCGGAAGCGCCCGTGGGGCGTGCTGAAGTCCACCACCCAGGGCAGCACCGGGTGGTAGTTGGGATCCCCCTGCCGCCGGCCTGCCAGGCGGTTCAGCTGCATGAGGTAGTGGAAGTTGCTGAGGCCGCCGTGCACCCAGTCCAGCACGAAGCCCCTCAGCTCCTCCTGGCGGGTGGGACACGCGGCGCCCCTCGGCCCCTCTTCTCCAGACTCCCCGCCCGCCCCGTCCCTCACCCCAGGGGACCCCTGGTGCTCATCGTCCTCCGGCCTCTCGTAGGCACTCAGGTCCAGCCGGAGCTCACTGCAAAGCTTCTCATCCACAGCGATGTGGTGCAAAGACAGGGCCCCACAAGCCAGCCCCTGGCGGTGGCAGGCCTCCATGGCCCTCAGCACACGGAAGAGAAGGAAGAGCACTTTGGCTTGGCTGTTGGTCAGCTTGGCAGGGCTGAAGGTGACCACGTCGTGCAGCGAGAACTGCACGTAAGGGTGTATGACGTACAGCATCTCCGGCGACTCCAGCAGAGCCTCGGCCCGCAGCAGACTGGGGCAGGTGGGGCTGCCCCGCGGGAGACAGGGGCCATCTCTGGCACACGATGGGCCCTGGGTGGCTTCACCCACCGGCAGGAAGGGGCAACCGTACACCCTCTGCAGAGCCTGCCGGACCGACTCTAGGGCAGGGACGGCTGAGGGGGCAGGGCTACGACTATAGGGCTGCGCGTAAGTGTGGTACGCGCGGCGCCACAGGTTGCGATAATTCTGGGCAGCCACGTCCTGCATGAAGCGAGTGAGGGTCTCGGGGCCGCAGGACCCCTCCTCCAAGGGCAGGCCCCCGCCCAGCGGGTAGGACAGTCTCCGTTTCCGCAGCCCGTGCACCTCCACTCGCGTCCAGCCGGGGGGCAGCCTCTGCACCGAGCGTTGCAGCAGAGTCTTGACTTCCGCCTCGCTCAGGCCCTCCGCCCGCGGGCAGGGTCCCAGCCGGCGCTCGCGGAGGCTGGCCAGCCAGCGCGCGGGCACCAGGGCCACCACGTGGGCGCCCCCCGGAGCCGGAGCCAGCTGCCGGGCATCTATGTTCAGGTCCCTCTCCACGCTCCGGAGCAGCTCCTCCATATCCGGGCTCGGCGGCGGGGACCAGCCCTCCGCCCCGGCGGTAAGAGCGACGTCCCGCCCCCCGCGCCCCTGGGCCATCTCTTCCCGGCCGCCTGGGGGCAGCGCGGGGCTGAGCCCGGCCACAGCCCTCCTCGCGATGGCTTCCGGGCTGCCAGGCCGGGCGGGTCGGGCTGGGCCGGGGACAGGAGTCGGGGTGCAGACGGCTGGGGCGAGCCGGCGGCAGAGGAGGGGAGGGCGGGGAGCGCTCTTACCCCTCCGCAGGGTCCGGCGCTCCGGGCGCGGCGGGGCGGGGGCTGCGGGGCGCCAGCGCCGAGCTCCACCGTGACGGGTCAGCTGACGCGGGTCACGTGACCGCCCCGGCACGGAAACAACCGCACGTGGCTCCAAAGGGCCGTGAGGGGGGGACCTCGCCACCCGCCCGCGCTCTCCCTCCCACTGCTTGGTTCGGGCCTGCTCCCGATTTCGTTTCCGCCTGGTGCAGGACGGAGCTCCCGCCGCTGCGGGAGCCGCGGGACTTCCTAGCCCGGCAGGGCTCTCTTCCGCCCAATGGGACGCCGACCCAATGGGGCACCCTTATCCCCACAGCCAGCCACAGAGCTGGGACCCGGACATGAAGCCCCCTCGGCGCCTCCACGCTGTCTTCCAAACGAAGGAGCTTTTTCATTTCCAAAGCATTTGGTCAGGAACAGTCCATTTGGCCCTCACGACTCAGTGAGGTAGGGAGGACGGTTTGTATTGCTTGTGTTTTACAGGTGCTACCTGAGAGCAGCAAAGAGGCTTGCGGGAGAGGCAGGAGACTTCAAAGCTGGAGCACCCTCCCCAACCCCCGTCCATGCTGTCTCCAGCACCTTTCTTAAACTCTGGGAGATCGGAGGGAGAGAAGCGGCCCAGGCTTCAAGTTCCCCCAAGACTTCCTGTTGCAGCTTGCTTCTGCGTGGGTGCCACAGAGCCAGCCAGCTGTGGCTGGGAGTAGGGAATGGAAACTCAAGAGTGGACTCCCGCAGGGGCTGTTGGTTCTGACTCACTGCAGGACACATGGTCCTGGTCTGCAGTGAAGCCACTGGCTCCGCCTTTTGGAGTATCACTCCTAGAAGGAGCGTGGGCATCGGGCAGTTTGGGGCAGAGGTGGGGCCCCCTTAAAGGCACCTGAGGAGAATGCAGGCCACATCAAAGAGAAGACAGGAACGGTTCAGCCACGACCCGCTTTCACCTGTCTCCTCTTTCTTGAAGGGCCGTTGGGGCCCCTGATGTGCTTGGCCATGTGACATTGGACTGCCACTTATGATGCATTTACCAGGAGCTAAGCACCATGAATATCGTGTTGTTTAGTCCTCTTGTTTTAAAGGCTGATTTATTTATATGAAAGGCAGAGTGACAGGGGGAGGGCAAGAGGGAGAGATAGAGATCTTCCATCCACTGACTCACTCCCCAAATGGCCACAATGGCCAGGTCTGTGCTAGGCCACAGCCAGGAGCCAGGAGCTTCTTCCAGGTCTCCCACATGGATGCAGGGGCCCAAGCACTTGGACCATCCTCTACTGCTTTCTAAGGTGCATTAGCAGGGAGCTGAGTCGGAAGTGGAGCAACCAGGATTCAAACTGCAGGCATCCCAGGTGGTGGTTTAACCTGCTATACCACAATATCTGCCCCACCCTTTTAAGAAAATATTCTTATACCTATTTTGATGTTACCTTAGCTGACTTGCTCAAGGTCATGTAAAAAAGCTAAGGAACAGAAGAGCCAGAATTCAAATCCAAGTGTGTTCCATTCTAAAACCAGTACTCACTGGCTGCGCACCATTATTTTTTAACCTGGGAAAGGTGATGATCCTTTATTCCCAATTTTGATCTGAGTACCTGATGACAGATGGTGTGTTTGAGAGGCAGACAGTGAGCTCCCACCTGCTGGTTCATTTCCCAGATGCCCTCAATGGCCTGAGGCTGGGCTAGGACCAAAGCCAGGAGCAGGCACTGCGATCCAAGTCATCCACATGTGTGGCAGGGACCCAGCGACTTGAGAACATTGCTTGCTGCCTCCCAGGATCTGCATCAGCAGGCAGCTGGAGTCAGGAGCCTCAGCTTGGAGTCAAACCCAGGTACTGTGATGTGGGAGGATGGCATCTTAACCGCCATGCTAAATGCCAGCCCCATACCTCACCAATGAAGCAGTCCCTTTAGTCCCCGCTCTGGTCTCAGACTGGGAACAGGCACTATTTTTCTGCAAGTCTGCCTGTGCAACACCCTCTAGTGGTGCTTGCACTACATTGCAGCAGTGACCTTGAGTGTACCTACCTTTATCTCTTGTAATTACTTCGCCTTCCCCTCCCCTGAAGGCAGACATCCTGTCCTTGGAATGTGGCGCACTGCTGCCCTGAGACCTCTCGGGCGTCAGTACCTTCCCTGATCTGAGCTCTAGGGTAATTCACACTCAGGGTATGCTTCTGATCCAGCAGTCTGGATACCCACAAATCTGGATTTTTTTGTTTGTTTGTTTATTATTTCTTTGAAAGGCAGAGTTACAGAGGGGCAGAGAGAGAAAGAGGTCTTCCATCCATTGGTTCACTCTCCAAAGGGCCACAGCGGCCAGAGCTGGGCCGATCCAAAGCCAGGAGCTTCTTCCTTGTCCCTACCCTGCGAGGGCAGGGGCCTAAGCACTTTGGCCATCATCTATTGCTTTCCCAGGCCACCAGAAAGCTGGATTACAAGTGGAGAACCAGGGACTCAAACTGGTGCCCATATCGAGGTGCCAGCACTGCAGGTGGTGGCTTTACCAGTTACATCACAGCGCCTGCCCCCACAAATCTGGATTTTTTAAAAGTTTTTTTTAAATATTATTTATTTATTTATTTATTTGAAAGGCAGAGTTACAGAGAGGCAGAGGCGGAGAGAGAGAGAGAGAGAGAGTCTTCCATCCACTGGTTCATTCCCCCAGATGGCCAGAGCTGCCCCGAACTGAAGCTGGGAGCCGGTAGCTTCCTTTTTTTTTTTTTTTTTTTTTTTTTTTAATTTAACAGAGTTAGTGAGAGAGAGAGAGAGAGAGGTTTTGCTTCTGTTGGTTCACTCCCCAAATGGCTGCCACAGCCGGAGCTACGCCGATCCAAAGCCAGAAGCCAGAACGGCGTTGGTGGTATAGTGGTAAGCATAGCTGCCTTCCAAAGCCAGAAGCCAGGTGCTTCTTCCTGGGGGCCCAAGCACTTGGGCCATCCTCCACTGCCCCCTCGGGCTACAGCAGAGAGCTGGACCGGAAGAGGAACAACCGTGACTAGAACCTGGCACCCATATGGGATGCTGACGCTGTAGGCGAAGGATTAACCAAATGAGCCATGGCGTCGGCCCCGCCAGTAGCTTCTTCTGGGTCTCCCACATTGGTGCAGGGGCCCAAGGACTTGGACCATCTTCTGCTTTCGCAGGCCACAGCAGAGTTGGATTGGCAGTGGAGCAGCTAGGACTCAAACAGGCACCCATATGGGATGTCGGCACTGCAGGCGGCAGCTTTACCTGCTATACCTCAGCACCGACCCCCAAATCTGGATTTTTAATAAGCACCCCTAATTCTGATGCAGTAGCTTTTAGGCCATATCTTGAGAAATAATGCTCTGTAACAGCTTTACTCCCAAATTTCCCTCTCCCGTCCCCCAGCAAGACTCCCTGGATCCCAGTTAAGACACCCTTGGGCTTTGGGGAATCTGGGACCAAATTAGCCACTCCCCTTCACCACCTTCAATATTGGGTTACCAGGAGGTCACATCTGGGATAGTCAGGGAGGGAAGCCACTGCCACCGCTGGCCAGTGGAGCCACAGCTCAGTGAGGAGTTCTTGCTGATCGGGCAGGGAGAAAAGTTAGTGCACCAACGGCAGGCAGGCCAGTGTGCCTGAGGCTGTGCTGGGCATTTTCACACAGAATCTTTATTAATCCCTACAACAAGCCATGAGTTTATTATTCATCCTGGTTTGCAGGTTTGCAGATGAGAAAAGCATCTTCGTTCTTTTTTTTTTTTTTTTTTTTTTTGACAGGTAGAATTATAGACAGTGAGAGAGAGAAACAGGAAGGTCTTCCTTTCTTTTTTTTTACTCCCAAATGGCCGCCACGGCTGGCACGCTGCGCTGATCCAAAGCCAGGAGCCAGGTGCTTTCTCCTGGTGTTCCACGTGGATGCAGGTGCCCAGGCACTTGGGCCATCCTCCACTGCCTCCCCAGGCCACAGCAGAGAGCTGGACTGGAAGAGGAGCAACTGGGACTAGAACCTGGTGCCCATATGGGATGCTGGCACTGTAGGTGGAAGATTAACCGAGTGAGCCACGGCGCCGGCCCCAAGAAAAGCATCTTCGATAAGCTCACAGCCAGTCCGAGCTGAATCCGAATTCAAGTTTGTCTAATGCAGTGGTTCTCAACTGGGGGCATCCAGGCCCCTGGAGGCCATTTGGCAATGTCTAGAAACATTTTTGGTTGTCCTAACTGGCGGAGTGGAGGGAGTTGCCCTGGCAACTGAGATGGAAACCAGGGAGGGTGCTGAACATCCTACTATGCACAGAGCAGCACCCCACCCACTCACCCAGCAAGAAGTTATCCAGCTCAAAATGTCAACAGTGCTGAGATTGAGAAATCCTCGGCTCCAAGCCTGTGTTTTTTGCCTGGAGGAGGTGAGTTGGGGTTGGGGGTGGGGTTGGTGAGCAGAACAAAATGGAGAAGGGCCACTCCAAGCTTCCCAAGTGGGAAGGGGATAGGAGTTCTATGCTAAGGATAATGGAGAATGAGGGCAGCTGGTGAGACTTCTCTTTCTTCCAGGCTTGGCCAGGGCTCTGCTCAGTTCCTCCCAGCCTTGCCAAGTCAGTCCTGGGACTTCTCACTAAGCTTGTCCTGGAGTGACCCCAACTCCTAGCTCAGGGTAGGGGCAGAATATTTACCTGAATCTCCCTGCAGGACTTCCCAGCCAAAGCCCCTGGCTTCTGGGACCAGTGTGTTCCACCTGCACTCCACGTTAGCACCCTTGCTGTAGGGGTGGGAGTGCAGGCAAGGTACCACTGAAAGTAAAAAAAAAAAAAAAAAAGGCACAGCCAAGGCAGCAGGTGGCATCTGAGAACAACTAGAAATAGTGGTTGGAGAAAGCCTCCCCCCTAGCAACTCCGAGTGAGGAGGAGCAGAGCTACTTGAGGAGGGGATAGGCAGCAGCCGGCCCAGGGAAAGCTTCTGACCCCAAAGTTCGCTTCCCACAGCCCTCCTTCTCCTCTAGGGCTGGTCCTCAGCTTCCCAGTACCCTCCCCAGTGCACCCAGCCAGCCACCAGCCCAGGGAGGGCGGTCTGCTGACTGCTGACAGGAAATACCTTTCCTTCTAGGCCCAGCACCTCAGCAGATTGGGGGTGGTGGGGACAGACAGTCTTGAGTGATGGGGAAGAGAAAGGATCATGCAATCCTGTCCCCATATTTGGGGTTCCAGCCAAGGGAGGAGGGGGTGGAGGGCAAGCCAGGAGGAGGATGTGGTAACAGCTGATTCGTCCCCTGAGGTTACACTTTCCAACAATCAGCTGTTACTGGGGCGGAAGGCAGGAAGTTTCCTTAAAGGCACAATGTTCTGAACACAGGCTCAGGATTCCGGAGCTCGGAGGACCCGCAGCAGTCCCCTGGCACAGCCTGTATCTAACGAAGAAGGGACTGTCTCGGGCTCCAGGCTCACCCCTTCGCCCAGTTAGCCTCCTCCCCATCTCGGACCTACAGACAAGTCCCCAACCCCCTATCCATCCCTTCCTGGGGGTGGTGGTGGGGGTCCCAGACTCGCCCTTTAAATAGCAGCTCAGCCGCTTTTGCCAAGTCATTGGGTTCATTTCGGTTTTTGCCCTTCCCCCGCACCTCGAGCCTCTGATTGGCCCCTGGGGAAAGAGCAGCCTCCTCATTGGTCTCCACCTTTGAAATCTCGTCCTTAAGTAGGCCTGAGTCAGAGAGCGCCTCGGAGGGCGGGACCGCACTGGGGGTTAACTGGGGATGGGGCTGCAGGTCGCTCGCGCTTGGCCCGGCCCCGGCGCCCTCCACGCTCCGGCGAGGGCTATGCCATGAGCCGCTTGTTAGGGAGCTGCCTCGAGGCGCCCACAAGAGAGGGCTCCTGTGGTTAGGGAGGGCCGGACGAGGCCTCCCCGTGGAAGCCGGGGCTGGGCGAGGCGACCGAGCCCTCAGGGCTTCTCCTGCGGGAGCCTCCGCTGCCCGGGGGCGGGTCTCCACCTTCAGTTCTGCCCACTCCTCGCTGCTTCGCCTGCTCCGCCTCTACTCAGAGAGACACAGCCTCCTGCGGAGGCCAGCGAATCCGTCTTGGCGTGGTCTCACAGAAGCGCTCGCGGCTCCACAAAGGAGGGGCCGTAGCCCTTTAAGGACTTCCCGGGATGGATTCAGAGAGGAGTTTAAAAATGCCAACTCACAGAGCGCGCTGGCTGCTGGGAGCGAGGGTGTCGGGCCGAGAACTACCTCGACCAGGGTGCACCGCAAACACACGCCTCTCCTTCCTTCTGCTCCTCAGGGCCCTGCTTTGACGTAGCGCTCCTCTCTGCAAGCCGCTCGGGCGGAGGGCTGCGCCACGCCTTTTCACCCATTGGCCACTTCCCGAGTTGGCAGGCGTGGCTTAGCGCTGCTCCGCGAGGCAAAGGGGTGGCCTCCTTGCCAATCAGAGCCAAGACGGCCGGGGGGGCGGGACCAAGGCGAAGTGCTGGCGCCCCGAGTGGGTGTGGTCACGTTGCCCAGCAGTGGGCGGTGATTGGCCCTGGGCGGTGCAATCGCGGCTTGTGCGTCACGACGCCGCCAGCTGATCGGAGACTGGAGCCGGTGTGTGCTGGGCACTGGGAAGAGACAGCGCCGCCGGCCGTGGGGAGCGGACGCAGTGATTTGCTCCCCTACCCTCAGCGACCCCCCACACCCAGCACCAGGTGGGTGTGAGCTGGGGACCCGGTCATACAGGGGGGAACGGTGGTAACGGGGTGATGGGGGAAAGTAGGGTCCTGGCGGCCACACCCTGCCCTTTCGGGGGAGGGGAGAGGGGGCGGCGGGGGCAGGGGAGTTTCAGGGGAGAGGGGTCTGGACTGGCTGGAGTAGTGGGTGGGGAGGTTCGCAGGAAGAGTCCCGGTCAGGAGTCGCGGCGGAAGGGTTGGCGGGGTCTCTGGGAGGAAGATGGGGTGCCGGCGGGCCGGGGGCGGCTGACCCTGGCGCCCTCGGGTCTTAGGACCCAGGAGCCGGTCATCTGGCCTGGGGAGGATCGGGACGGAGCCGACAGTAGGGAGGTGCTCTGCCTCCACCGGCGCTTACTGGGGCTGGACCATTTCAGCGCCCTGGCAGGGAAGGGGTCGCTGGGCGGGCCGGCCCCTCCTCTCGTTCCCTCCAGGGGATGTTATGTAAGGGGGGAGGGGAGAGGAGTAGGGGGCGGCGGTGCGGGGGCCTTATGCAACCCAAAGGTTAGGGTTTCACCGCGGTTGGGCGGGGAGGGGGGGTGCGGGCAGGAGGAGGGCCTGGAAACTCTAGCCCCCCCTCCTCAGCCTAACTGGCTGTCTTGAGCGGAGAGAAGGTCACCTCTGCACCTCCCCCCCAGCCTGTCCGGTCGTGAGGCCCCTCGCCCAGGCCTGGCCCTGACCGCCTGGGAAGCCGGCTGGCTGGGTGGGGCGCCTGGGTTAGTCATCGCTGGGCTCCCTCTCTCCCCACCTCCCGGCCAACTCTTGGCCCCTCCCCATGGCCTCCGGCTAGGCTATCGCCCCCACCTCCCTCTGGCCCTAGCTCCAGCCTCCAACTCTTTTGGCTTGTCATGCTGGCTGTCAGACTGGGCTAGGAGCTGTCAGGGTGCCAAAGGGTAGATGGAGCAGCTGGTCAGAGGGTCAGTGGCCTGGGCCCACCCCGTCCTGCAGCCAAGGGCACCTGCTTGGCACAGACGCTCAGCAGCCGTGGAGTCCTGTGGGCTGAGCAGCGCTGTCCCAGACAGAGGGGAGCTGGACGGAGTTGGACTGGTCACCTAGGGGAAGGAAGATACCACAAAGTTCATGCCTCCCAAGAAGCTTTCTGAATTTGAAAACCCCAACCCCCACCCTGATCGGTCTTACCCTCTGAGTATGGAAATCCCAAGGCAGAACCTCCCTGGCCCCTCACTTCTGGCATGGGCCATGCCCTTGGATTGAGCAGCGGCAGCAGCAGCGCACAGACCCGCCCTCCCCAGCCCACAGCCCTCCAGCCTGCCACGCCCCCAGCCCCCTCCCTGGGCCATGCTGCAGGGCCCCGGCTTTTCCTGCTGATTCATGCGTTGGAACTGTGGGGGCGGGGCTTGGAACTTGGAACAAAGTTCAGACATGGAGGGGCCGGCAGACAGCCTGGAATTCATACCAGATGTACCCGGAATGTGCAAGCGGAATGCTTGGCATCTGAGAGTCCAGAGGAAGCTGCCCAACCACCCTGCCCATACCTCCCTCCCCACCAGCCTGTGGTCGGCTGTCCTTTCCCTCAGGGCCCCAAGAGCCTCCCTCTGCTGACCTTCTCCCAAACTCCAGAGCGCCTCCTTTCACTCCTCCCTGGCCTAGGCCCCCCAAACTCCATCGGCCGAATTCCTTGGGAACAAGACAGTGGAACTGATCGCTGAACTCACATTTCTGGGCCCTGGGAACAGTTTCCCACCTGGCACCTGGGTAGCTGGTGGGGTGTGTCCAGGGTCCCAGGCTCTGCCCTCTCTGAGTGCTAGGAGGCTGAGGGCTCTTGTGGGTTGCCTGGGAAGGGAGGCTGAGAGCAGGCCGGGGCTTCTGTAGCCTCCATTTCTAGGAAGAGGAGCAAAGAAGTCCTTTTAGGGCTGCTGCAGGCCCAGGTCAAAGCCAAGAACCCTCGGTTCCAAGGTTGAAGGTCTGCTGGGGATGGGCTTCGATGGCCACTGGGATAGAGTCCCTGTGACATGGCCCTGCTCATCTCTTTCCTGTCTTTCTCCCCTTCCCTGTAGGAAACCGTACCTCTCCAGTTCTCACCTGGCTGAGCCGCAGTAGTTCTTCAGTGGCAAGCTTTATGTCCTGACCCAGCTAAAGCTGCCAGTTGAAGAACTGTTGCCCTCTGCCCCTGGCTTCGAGGAAGAAGAGCAAGAGGAGGAGCAGCAGCTGCTATCCCCGTCTTCTGGAAGGTGACAGGACCAGTGAGTGTGGGTGGTGGAGCCCTTTGGGAAAGGGAACCCTGCTCCCTCCACACTGGCCCAGCAAGAAAGCAATTCTGGATTATAGGCACTGGCTGAAGCGGGGAAGAGATGGCTCCAGCTACTCCAGTGTAATTGGTCTTTGTATGACGATGGGAAGAAATGCAGAGAAGAAAATTCTGTGTCCTTGTTACCCAGATTCCCATTCTTCCCTAGCAGCCTTTGCATGTGAGATCCAAAAGTCAACTTACTCTTCAGGGAAAAGTGATACTGAAGCTTCCATCTGAGTGGTCACCCTCCTGCTCTTGCCTCTCCAAGTACTCCCTTAGACTGGCCCAGAGTCTGAGTGAGAGGTACTTACCTGTATCTGGGAGCTGCTGTCTCAGTTTCTCTACCTGTGAGGTGGGGAATCACACCGATGAGTATACAGCCCACTTGTGCAGCCTAGAGCCTGGGTCCTCCTGCTGTGAGTGGGAATAAAACAGCTTTGTGAAAAAGATTTCTTTTTCTTTTATTTATCTGAAAGGCAGAGTTAGAGAGAGAGAGAAGGAGTGATGGAGTGGAGATCCTGCATCTGCTGCTTCACTCCTCAAATGGCCTTAATGACCAGGGCTGGGCCAGGCCAAAAGCAGCAACCAGGAGCTTCATCTGGGTCTCCCATGTGGGTGCTGGGGCCCAAGGCTTCAAGCCATCTTCTGCTGCTTTCCCTTGCCATTAGCAAGGAGCTGGGTGGGAAGCAGAGCAACCGGGACTTGAACCAGCACTCATATGGGATACCAGCATTGCTTAACCCCTTATGCCACAACACCAGCCCCAAAGATAGATTGATTAATTGATTTGAAAGGGTGGGGTGCAGGGACAGAGAGTGAAGAGATCAGAGAGAGCTTCTACCTGATGTTTGACTCCTCAAATGGCCACAACAGCCTGTTCTGGGCCAGGCCAAAGCCAGGAGCCAGAACTCCATCCAGGTCTCCCCCGTGGTACTTGAGCCATCTTCTGCTGCCTTCTCAGGCACATTAGCAGGAAAGTGGATCAGAAGCAGAGTAGCCAGGACTTGAACCTGCACTCCATGGCCAGCATCACAACTGGTAGCTTAACCTGCTGCTCCTCAACACCAGCCCCAGAACAGCTTTCCACAAAAGTTATTGATCCTTCCGCATTGCTGACCATGACCCCAAGAGCTGAGGAGGGTGAGGAGTTGGAGGGAGGGGTCGGAGTCAGACCGATACAAGGGTTCCTGGGAGCTCCGTCTCTACACTGACTTCCAGTCATGCAGGAGTGGCCGGGGGACTCCACAGTCACCAGGGTAGATCTGCAGCCCTTGATGGGGTTCCATCTGCCACTGCTCATTTCTTCCCTGGCTTTGCCTTCCAGGGTAGTGTTGTGAGCTCAGCTCAGCTTGTGCACACAGGAGATTCTTCCCTTCAGCAAGAGAGAGTTGCACTGTGGGATAGTGACCTTTTGGAGCATCAGTCCGTGTCCACCTGCCACCCCCAGCTGCCGATCCAGCCTCACTCCCGGGCTCAGGCTCCGGTGTGGTTCAGCCTTGGGTTCACTCTCCCTGCCAGTTGATGGCCGTGTTCAGAGGCTACAGGAAGTGGTTTGGTCTGTTTAGTGGGACAAGACGTGCTGCGGGCTGTCTCCTGCTCTGCAGTTAAGAGAAGCTGGGAGACGTAGGGGAGAGTAGGCCATTGGACTGAGCCCCTCTGCAGCCGGAGCTGAGGGCAGGATGTGTCTGGGACAGTTTAGAGGGGGATGGGCAGACTGAATCTACTAGGCTGCCAGAAAGAGCGCTGCGTCCCTGGACATCCTCTCTGTCCTTTCTTCCCCTCACTGCTTCAGTGGCCACAGTGTCTCCCTCCACCCTCGGGTGTGTGGCTCTGCCATCTTCCCTGTCATGAAGCAGAGGCAAGGAAGGGCAGCTGGGAGCACAGAGATAGGACACGGGGACTGGAGAGCACAGAGCCCTGTCTGGATGTCTGGCAGAAGAGCCCAGCAAGGCCAGGAGCACCCGGGAGGAGGGAGAACAGCCAGGCTCCAGCAGGACAAGCTCCAGCCATCTCCCGCCCCACTCACCGACTCGCTCCAGCTTCCTTCCTCCCTCAGAAGTCTGGGCACTGGTAAAGTGCTCTGTGGCTCCACCCTCCCCCCTTGCCTCTCACCCTGTAATTTTATATAAGCAGCCGCAAGGAGCAAGAGCCAGCTGTGAAAGGACAGACAGGAAATTGATGGAAGAAAGTCAAGTGGATGCAACCATGCAAAAAGTGTACACATCATTGGTAAATAAAGGCCAGTGTAACTGAGAGCATTTTCCCCTTCACAAACTATAAGGGGAAAAAAGCCTAATATTGGTCAGGGTTCGGTGCTAAAATAACACTGCACATCTGGTATATGGGAGTCTGAACTGAGCCAGACTTCCTGGAAGGCGTGTTGGTAGTCTGCATCAAACACCCTACACGTTCGTTCCCACGTTCTTTGGCCTGGTAATTTGACATTTTAGAATTTATCCTGACAGTAACTAAGGATTTAGTTATGATATGTCCATCCCAGTATTGCAATAGAGAAAAATGGAAATGCCTGTAGTATTGAAAATGTATCATTTTCTGCTGTAATGAGAATTGGCACTAGGGGATCGCTTAAGTAAGCTATTGTGTATCTGTCCAGAGGGTGGAGTACCACACAGCCACTCCAGGCATGTAGACATTTGAATGGAAAGAAAAAATGCCCTTTGATATTAAGGAGGTTATAAAAATAGAGTATATGATGTGATCTCAATTTTGTTTTTGAAAATATGAATGTATATTCGTATATAGAGAACAGATTTTTAAAAGATGAAGATATCCTCAAAAATGTTAATAGTGGCTTGGATGGTGGAATAAAGTAATTGTACTTTTCCTCTGATTTTTCTCTGAGTTCCCAATTTTGTACATTAATTGAATATTGCTTTCATATAATAAATAAAGTGTGAACGACGGGTGTAATGCTTTAAACCTGTAGCGAAGTGGGTATGCAGGAAGGGACGCCCCTGCCCCGTGTGAGCTGTTGGCTGGGGTGCCTGCAGGTCTGTGAGCTGCTGTGCTCGGCAGCGGCTGGAATCCCCCTGGGCACACAGGGAATCGCTGGCTCTCAGGTGCTGGCTGACAGCCAGCTGCAGAGGTGTGTACAAACCTGTCACTCGGGGGAAGTGGGGCCGCCACAGGGTTTTCCTCTCAAGGCAGGAGAATTCTAGAACGCAACAGCGCCGCTGCTTGGTATTCATCTGCTGATTGTGCCCTAACGCGGAGGTGACCTGTGTGACCTCCCTGCCCCTCGGGTTGGAGGGGGAGTCTCCTTCCAGCCCACCAGGTTCCGAGCCCCAGGGAGGAGGCCCGGGGTACTTCTCTCAAGCGGCCCCCTTTTTGCCTTCCCTTGCTAATACGGCTCCTCTCTCTAGGAGGGAGGCCGTGGGAGGGGGCTTCCAGTGGGTTGCTTCTTCAGAATGGGGGCTGCGGTTCCACCTGGGAGATTCTGTGAAAGGCAGGAGGCAGGACTGCTGAACCTTGGGCGGGCTCGCTGTGAGGTGTCGTGGGGCCGGGAGGCGCAAGGGGTGGCCTCATGGAAGATGGGCGCCCCCTCCCCCAGCTGCCGGGGGCGGGGCGGGGAGGGCGGCGCGACCGCCCGGTTCGGTCAAGTGGAAGTGGGTTAAGCTGGCCTTTACCTTCGGGGCTGAGCGGTTGAGTGGGCAGCGATAATGAGCAGGTGAGAGGCCAGGGAGTGGGGAGGAGAAGGTGAAAGTTAGTGGGGCGGGCCCCAGAGTGTCAGGCGAGAGTGGAGTGGTGACCGGTTCGTGGGACTCCCCGGAGCTCAAAACACCTGGAGGTAGGGGCGACGCCGCGGGCAGCCCCACCGCGCCGCTTGGTGCCGGGGAGCCCCCAGCCCTGCATCCCTGCTAGGGCCGGACGCCCTCGGTTGCCGGGGCTTCAGGGGCGGCCCCACGGCTGCTCCAATCGCCACGCAGCCGCGGGACGGGGGCGTGGACAAGCCGGAAAAAGTTCCCGCAGATTCCGAAGGCGGGGCCGCCCGGGGAGCTCGGGGACCCGGCTCCGCAGCTAAGCCAGTGCGCGTGCCTGCTGGGGGCGTCGGGCGCGTTCCGCCGAGAGTGCCGGACCGGAGGCACCGGTCGGGACCCAGCCTGCCGGCCGGGCCATGACTCATTCGGGGCTCCTGGTGACGGGCGCCTCCTTCGCCGCGTTCCGGGGGCTGCACTGGGGGCTGCGGCTGCTACCCACACCCAGATCTGCGGCGCGGGACGGCTGGAAGTGGCGCAACATCTGCGTGTCGCTGATGCACAGCCTGCTGAGCGGGGCTGGCGCGCTGCTCGGGTGCGGGCTGGGGGCTTCGTGAGGCACGGGATGAGGCAAAGGAGGTTGGAGAACAGGGCAGGTGAGACCTCCAGAGTGGATGGGTGGGAGGGCGGCTGACTCTGGCCCCCGTCTCCCCCAGGCTGTTGCTGTACCCACAGATGACCGTGGACCCGGTTCATGGCCACCCACCCTGGGCTCTGGTGCTCGTGGCTGTGTCTGTGGGTGAGTCTGCAGGGAAGAAGGCTGCTGTGAGGGGGGCAGCCTTGGAACCCCAACTCCAGGTCTCCCCCCACCTGAAGGATTGGAAAGGGCAGGAGGGCTGGGTGTCCCTCCCCAGCCTGGTCAGCATCTCTGGGACAGCCTGACCCTTCTACCCTGCCTGCAGGTTATTTCCTGGCGGATGGAGCCGACATGCTGTGGAACCAGACCTTGGGCCAGGCCTGGGATCTCCTCTGTCACCATTTGGTGGTGAGACACTGAGGGGAGAGGCCCGCCCGCCTGGGGTCCCAGCCTCTCTGCAGCTTTCTGTGCTCTGACTTCCCAGAGGGTCTCTGGCGCCAGCTGGCCTCTGAGCCTCTGAATTGGCGGGAGGGGATTGACTGCTATACCCAGCTGGGGGTCTGGGCGCTGCTTAAGGAGCTTGGATCCCTGCCAGTGTCCTGCGGATCACAGAAGGTTGAATATGGAGCTTTTCAGAGGGGAGGGAGCCCCAGAGTAAGGTGTGGGTGGAACTCAAAAGCCCAAGACTGCCAGCTGGGGGGCACCAGGCAGACAGGCTCCCAAGATGGGGTAAGCATAAAGGCCAGGTGGTTCGGAGAGGGCCCCACAAAAGGCTTGCGAGCTCCTTTTATAAGGATGGGATACTGGGATGCGATGGGACCCAGCACAGAACAATCTCTGACTTCTGACCCTGGCTCCCAGGTAGTGAGCTGCCTCAGCACCGCCGTTCTGTCTGGCCACTACGTGGGCTTCTCCCTGGTGTCTCTGCTCCTGGAGCTGAACTCCGTCTGCTTGCACCTGCGGAAGCTACTGCTGCTTTCTCACCAAGCTCCATCCCTCGCCTTCAGCATGACCAGCTGGGCCACTCTGGCCACCCTGGCCCTCTTCCGTTTGCTGCCGTTAGGTTGGATGAGTCTCTGGCTGCTCCGGCAGTATCACCAGGTGCCTTTTGCTCTGGTTGTCCTCGGTACAACAGGACTGGCTACAGTGGGTGCCATGAGCATCACCCTAGGGGTCCGCATTCTGATCAGTGATGTGCTGCGGTCTCGGCCGCAGCCATCCATCCTTGGGCACAAGGACACCTAGGGGACCAGGACTTGTAGTGGTGAACCTGTCTCCAGGGACAGTTCCACTGTCAGCGGGGAGGACTAGAGAGAAGCCACAGGCTTCCAGTCCTGGGGGCACTGGGGCCAGGATCAGGACCCAGTGTTATTTACTGCACAGATGGCCCCTGGACTAAGGATGGGATGAGATAATCAGTATCTCAGTTCCTCTTGCAGCTAACTCACATCTTTCCCCTGCGTAGGATCTATGACGAAGAATTGCTGATGTTGGTGGCTGGGTGGGTACCTGGGTTACTGTTCACTGAATTCCATCATTAGAGGACCATCCTTTCTAGCAGATGAACTCAAGTGGCCCAGCCAGAGGCTGGCAGGAGGCCCGAAGCCGGAAGACACTGCCAATGGGAACAGATGAGGGAAGGTGGGGTCCTACCAGGCCTAGAGAGATCTGGTGTGGGGGTGGGACCAGTGGCAAGCGAGACCTCACCTATGACCAATTTCTGTCCCTGGGAATAGGGCACAGGAGATGTTATCTGTAGGGATGGGCATGACAGTTGCCAAGAGACAGAACTTGAGCCACTGCAATCGCTGCTGATATTTCTGGTTCTCAAAGCCACACTACAGGTATTGCATTTGTACTTAACCCAAGTCCTTCGGTGTCAGCCTTTGAAATGTTTTTAGTAGCTTCTGACCTTTTCAAAGAACATGTAGACTCTTAGAGAAATGCACATGGAGTGGGGTCTGGCTTCTTAGGACAGCACTGAGATCCAGAGCCACAGAGAGGACTCCCGTGCCTATGCAGGGCGCCAGGTGTGGGGTCTTCCCAGGCCGGGGTTTCCAGGGAAGAAGGAGCATGGCAGAGCAGGTGAGAGAGGCTCCCCCAGGCTGCCAGGGGATGGAGGAACAGCGGCCCTCTTCCGGGATTCCTTCGCATGTCCCCCTTCTCCCCTGCTGCGTCCGCCCTTTTTTCCACTACACAAGACCCCTCTCCTTCCAATCAGAGCATCCAGGCCCGGGGGAAGTGCGGAGCAGAACAAAGTTGCTTTTGCACTGAACAATAGACACGGAGCGATAACCCCTCATCCTGCACAGAAAGGGAACTGAGCAGAGGCGAGAAATGGGGAGATTTTTAAAAAGCCTACAAAGAAGCAAAGACCATGACAGAGACTGACACACATGGGCTGAGGGATGGATAGCAAGAAACAAAGATTGTGTAGAAGACACGGAGACAGAGATTGAAGTGAGGCAGGTCGGGGGAAAACCCTGGCAGAAATATCTAGAGAGATTGTTACAGAGGCTGAGAGGAACCATAGTCCTAGAATTGGCCAGAGGATGATAAAGAGCACAAGAAAAATAGTCAAAGGCAGACAGACAGCGACCCCAAGGGTGGGAGGAAGGCACAGAGCGTCTAGACAGTGAGACAGAGCGAGTGAGTGACGAGGAGGAGCAGCTGGACTCCCCAGACGCACAGGTAACAGATCGGGAGATTAGCAGGGAGAGAGAGGAGTGCAAACAGACGAGGGGGATGCATCAGGGGAGCTGAGCAGCCGAAGGAGAGGAGGCAGCCATTGTAAGATCCAGTGACAGAAGAGAGAAGCAGGCGATCTGTAGAGACAGGCGGGAAGACAAAGGACAAACAGCTACAGTGCAAACACAAAGACGGGGCTGACAGCAGCTGATAGGCAGAGACTGGTGGGAAGACGGGGACAAGCCAGAGGCAGGGACGTGCACTGACATAGAAGAATAGGCAAAGGGAGTGATGGGGAGAGTCTCAGAGACGAGGAGGGATGGGGCTGAACAATCAGCATGTGTACAAGGGACAGGGCAAAGAAAAGGGGGCACGGCACCACCGAGCAGGAGAGAGGACAACAGAAATGACAGGGACGTGGGAAGAAACTAGACAGAGGGCTTGTGAGAACTCCCCTCCACAGAGTCTCAGGCTGCAGGGGGCAGAAGAGCGGGTAGGGGGCGAAGAGACACTGTGGCGACTGGAAGGCTATAAACGCAGGCAGAGAACGAGAGCCAGGGGTTGAGGGCAGTAAGACCAAAACCAAGAGGCACTGGTGTAGAAGTTCAGATGGAGAACAGGAGGATTTGGTCTTTAAGAGAAGCAGCATCTTCAAAACTCACCTTGTCATCACACCTGCTGACTTAACCAGAGCATTGTCTGTCTTGAGTTTTCAAAGAAAAAGAAATGGGACAAGTTCATGTGAGGAGTACACACTGAGGTCCAATATTGATCCTTTCCAAAGTGTGCACCTTTTCTTTTACCACTGTCATAAATACATGGTTCAGTAGGTACCCCTGTTGGTAATACTTGATAGCACCAATGAACTTGACCATTAAGGAAATTTGGCTGTGGGTTCATTAGTACAATCCATACAGGGGGTAGGCGTTGTGACACAGCGTTGTGGTTAAGGCACCACTTGGGATGTCCATTTCTTTGAGTCCTGGTTGCTCTGCTTTTGATCCAGCTTCCTGCTAGTAAATTCTGCGAGGCAGCAAATGATAGCTAAACTGCTTGTGTCCCTGCCACCCACGTGGGAGACCCGGATGGAGTTCCAGGCTCCTTGATTTGGCCTGGCCTGGCCCAACTTGGGCTGTTGGTGTGCATTTGAGAGTGAATCAGCGGGTGGAAGATTTGTCTTTCTCTTTTTCTCTGTCTCTCGCTCTTGCTCTCACTCTCCCTTTCAAGTAGATGAAAAAATAAACATTAAAAAGGAAAAGATGATGTGGATCAAAGAATAATGATGAATGAGAGAACTCTCAGAAAGTGAAGTTCAACGGTGCAGAGTGACAGCTGCTGCACTTGGTCAAGACTGGTCTCCAAGTGGCCGGGTCAAGTGGTCCTCAAAATCGAATCTGTGCCTACACCACTTGCCGATGAAGTCCTTGTCTTCCAGCATAAAGGAGGGGTTCTCCTGAATGGGGAGCATTGATGTTTCATGGTCTGAGAATATTATCTTCATTCTAAATTAATAAATTGCTATGCAAACCATTTCATCAGCCCCTTGTGAGTGTGGTTACTCTAAGTCACTTTCTTGGCTTCAGTGGTATCCTGATTTTCTTTTTCTTTAATATTTATTTTATTTATTTGAAAGACAGACCCCTCCTTTTTTTTTAAGATTTATTTATTTGAGGGGCCAGCACTGTGGCTCAGCAGGTTGATTCTCTGGCCTGAAGTGCCAACATCCCATGTGGGTTTTAGTCCCGGCTGCCCCTCTTCCGATCAAGCTCTTTGCTGTGGCCTGGGAGAGCAGTGGAAGATGGCCCAAGTCCTTGGGCCCCTGCACCTGCATGGGAGACCCAGGGGAGTCTCCTGGCTCCTGGCTTCAGATCAGCGCAGCTCTGGCAGTTGTGGTCAATTGGGGAGTGAACCATCGAATGGAAGACCTCTCTCTCTCTCTGCTTCTCCTCTCTCTGTGTAACTCTGACTTTCAAATAAATAAATAAATCTTTAAAAAAAGATTTAATTATTTGAGGGTCCAGCGCCATGGTGCAGTAGGTTAATCCTCTGCCTCTGGTGCTGCATCCCATATGGGCACCAGTTCTAGTCCTGGCTGCCCCTCTTCCAGTCCAGCTCTCTGCTACAGCCTGGGAAAGCAGTGGAGGATGGCCCAAGTTCTTGGGCCCCTGCACCTGCATGGGAGACTGGGAGGAAGCACCTGGCTCCTGGCTTTGGATTGGCACAGCTCCGATCCAGATGTTGCAGCCATCTGAGGAGTGAACCAACGGATGGAAGACCTTTCTCTCTGTCTCTTTCTTTCACTGCCTATAACTCTACCTCTCAAATAAATAAATAAAAATCTTTTAAAAAAGATTTATTTATTAGAAAGTCAGAGTTACAGAGAGAGAGAGAGAGAGCTCGTCCATCCGCTGGTTCACTCCCCAGGCCAGGCTGAAGCCAGGAGCCAGGATCTGGGTCTGGTGCATGAGTGGCAGGGGCCAACCATTTGGGCCATCTTCTGCTCCTTTTTCCAGACCCTTAGGGAGCTAGATTGGAAGTGGAGTAGCAGCCGGGATGCAAGCCAGCATTCCTATGGGATGCCAGTATCATAGGTGGTGGTTTTACCATTGCACCACAACGCCAGCCCCTGGATCCTGATTTTAAATGTGTTGACAGGTTGTGGAGGCTTTGCTTTGGAAAAGTTTGGTCTTCCCACTAACTCTTTTCAACCTGCAAAGTGCTAACATGTTCTAAGGTCTTCTACTATCAAAAAGCAAATTGGAGGCTGGCGCTGTGGCTCACTTGACTAATCCTCTGCCTGCAGCGCCAGCACCCCAGGTTCTAGTTCTGGTTGGGTCCCACTTGCTCCTCTTCCAGTCCAGCTCTCTGCTGTGGCCTGGGAGGGTAGTGGAAGATGGCCCAAGTGCTTGGGGCCTGCACCCGCATGAGAGACCAGGAAGAAGCACCTGCCTCCTAGCTTCAGATAGGTGCAGAGCGCTGGCCACAGTGTGCCAGCCGTGGCGGCCATCTTGGGGGTGAACCAATGGAAAAAGGAAGACCTTTCTCTCTGTCTCTCTCTCTCACTAACTCTGCCTGTCAAAAAAAAAAAAAAAAAAAAAAAAGCAAATTGGCGACAAACATTTGGTGTACAAGATGTGGCTTGGAACACTTGCATCCCATATCAGAGTCCCTGCTTTACTGCCAATCCAGCGCATCCTGCTACAGGGCAGAAGATGACCACTCATGTCCTTGGACCACTGCCACCCATGTAGGATTGAGTTCCCAGTTGTTAGCTTCAGCCCTGGCCCAGCCCTGCTCATTGTAGGCATTTTCACAGTGAACCAGC